ATGTAACCAGATAGTCTATTGCCTATTGAACATTCAATTTAAAATTCAATGTATAGTATGAATGTTTTTTAACATTGTATATCAAAAGGATGTGATTCTCGTTTATCACCGGTTTATCATTTTCATCTAAGGTTTGGGAGTAATGTGGTTTGTGTTTTACAATAGAAAGATTAAATATCAATCATTAATCAACTTTAGAGAACAAACTAACAAGATTTTTACATTTACTGTCTTTCTCTCTGTTTATCACGATCTATTGATCATCCTGCACCCAAACCACAACTCGACTATCAACTCTATAGCACATAACATTAGGTGACATTTTTTAAGAATTCTTTTTTGTAAGTCTGTCAAGTTGTTGGTGACATTCACCCCCATTTTTGAAAACAAAAGAACGAAAATCTCATAGAACTGAATTCCCAGGTGATTGATCATCCTTGAGGGTGTGGAGGGGGTGTTTGCAGGTGTTTGCATTTCGAAGCTAATATTCCGATAGAAATCTATTAACCGACGAATGTGAGGACAGTACACGTACATGGTCTTATACAGACGCCATACTCGGGCAGTGGTATCAGATGATTCGGAAGGGTGGGCCTATAACTAATGATCTACCAAGCTCTATCAGGTCAATTTCGATAGCAGACTACTTTCAGACTACAATGAGCTTGAATTTTTTCTCTTTTAATATTTGAGTGAAATACACTTCTAATATAACAGAAGAGATTCCTAGATTTTGAGACCCTAGTAGCCTGCAAATATAACAGAAAACCTAACCCTAATAAATTAGAACAAAACTCACCGATGGGCATAGAACAGATAACTCTCGTATCCTTTTTCATTTTACACACTTGTCAAAGTCTTAACACTTCAAAGGCTTACGTTTATATTTATAATTCCAAGGATCTTTATCCAGGAGTCGGTCAAATGCAATGACACTGAGTCTTCTTCATTATTCCATTTTGATATTTTCCAACATCATACTGGTGCCTATCATAAATCAGCTGTTAGTTTGTTTATTTTAGGCAAGTTCTTTTTGCACTTGTTTGGAACGTCGGGACGCTCGATGTGTGTGGCACAACGTTTTGGCATCAGTTTAAAAGTTATTATTCTTTATCTTTGTCGACAATTAATGTCATTAAATGGGTAATTACTAAAACTATTCATTTTTTAACAAGCACGCGCAAACAGCAGACACAACCTAATTTGAAGTTCAAATTTTCGCTTTCGTATTAAACTAGGCTACTTGTTAACTAAGACGTAGTTTCGTATCTCAGGAGTTGTCTTTCTTTGTTTCTAATAGGACTTTGTCTTGGACTGTTATAACTGTTTAAAATTTAAAGTTAGGCAATTTAAAAAATAAGTTCCTATCAACGCTGCGTTTGTGTTTGTTAGTGCTTTGCCCTAACGAAGTTTATTATACCCCTTTCTAGCCTTGTCAGTAAAGCCATAGACCTCCAAGAACAAAATATTTTTCAAAACCTATTCAAGGGAAGTAACTTATGTTGATTTTAGGTTTCTCTTGACGTTTACTGATAACTGATCATATTTCTGATATTTAAGTTTTGCCAGCATTAATGCCAACTTTACTCTGGAAGACTTGGTTTTTTTTAAATAGAGAATTTCTTTCAAGTCTGTAGAGTGTCTTTTATGAAATTTTCATTTTGATGAAATGGAGTTTAACGTCTTACTTTTCTGCATTGATTAGACTATTGAAGACGGACTACATTGTAGTCTGCAATGGGGGAAATTTGGCGTAAAAAGTGACATTAGCCTGCTTTTTTCCGAGTCCAGCTGTCGAAGGTTCTAGAAATGTTGTATTATAATAGTGCAACAACTTTAACATAAAATATTTAACAATTATTATGAATTATGTTTAATGCCGACAAATTACGTTTCGGTTTTCAATATTGCAATACATTTAGGGACGTCGTATCATTATCTATTGTGATACTAAAATCTTGATAAGCTTGTAATATTTAGAAAGCTGATGAAATTTATAGGATAAATTAATATTTAACAATAATTCATTGTTATCATATTACAGATAGGCTTAAGATGATAAGAGATAAAGGTAATGAAAACTATGATTGATGCAATACTATCGTACACGCGGGAAACTGATAATTGAATAATATCAATTGATAGTGTTTATATTTAACGTCATAGGCCCCGTTCATATACATATACCGAATTAAATGATTACAGATTTAGCAATTTGAGATGCACAGGAATATAGTCATCTCAATAATTTAATATGTATCAACTCTTTAAGATCTGTATCAGCTATCCGTATCGCTTCTAAAAATTAAAATTTTACGACCTGTTTCTCTTCAATTCAACAACAACGTATCGTTGTCGTTAAGACTGCTGTCACTTCCAGGCGATCTTTAAATCAGTGATGTCCAATGACGTCATAATTTCTGTATCATTTCAACTTGCTATTTAGACGAATATATTTCTTTTGGGTACATGTATATTAGGCGAATGCAGATCTGAATTACTTAAATCTACCTAAATAATAAAAATGTTCGATACAAGAAAAAATTCAATGATAAGTATTAATTATTTACCTCATACTACATAATTATTACTTATTTTTTTCATATAAACTGGAAATTTGAAATAAAAACAAAATATGGCACCGTATAGATAATATAATAATACAGTCGATGCAAGTAAGCAACAACACATATCCGGTAACACACGTTGATTTGCTTACTATTTTACGGGATACAAGTTAACATCTAACAAGTTAAACTACCATTTTCACAGAGAATACTGTGATTCTATTTCTGTAACGAAATTGCTATAAAGTCACTTCATTGTTGGCACCCAACAAAATTGCAAAAGTAAGTCCGTTATCTAATCCCTAAGGTATACAGACCCATCAATCTAAGTAAATTTAGATTACAATTCCTGTTTTTTTTTTTTTTGACATTTTCGGTTTCAATTGTACTAGGAAAACCGACGAAAAAATATACCGAAGCGAAATTGTAATCTAATATTAAGTAGATTGCAGACCGATATTCCAATTAGTAAATATAACTAAATTTTATGGCATATCGCGCAGCCATATTACATGAAGGGTTAATGGCTGGTTGAAGGCGAGAAATCTTTCAGAGTTTAAAGCAACTGACATCAGGTTTTCACTGGTTTTTGGGGAGGATTATTATGAAAAAATTCATATCCTATTATTAAAGTCGATTTTGGTAGCAACAGAATGACATTAAGATATGTCTTCACTAAAAATAGTCATAAATGCGTATTATACACGGAACACTAACAAAGCACAAGAATGAAAAGGTTGAACAAAAACAGGAACTACGTGGATAATACTCTGATCAACAAAGTCCAATAACGTGCACATTAATAAGGTTATCAAAGAAGTGTGTCTACGAGGATAAAATACGCTGATCAAAGGTCATGTAGATTTTTTGCAGTCAATTACGTGAGAAAGTCTTTTATAAAAAACTTCTACCAATAAAACCAGTAGAGACAAGGCAAGTCCGATACAAATTACATAAAACGCCGACTGCACATCGACGAGAGTAATCATTTTAGCTTGGGCTGTTGATACAGAGGCACATATATCTGTTCTTGGCCACCACTTCTTCATCCATAGCGATAATATCCCTGATTCTATCATTCTTATAATCCTGAAATAGATGGTCAAATATTTCTTCTGGGTTGAATATTGCATTGGGGAGGGGTGGTATTTGTGGTGCCTGTTCGTTGAAGGGTTATGCTGAAAACAGATGGCCGTTGGTACAAGTTCGACTGTAGATCAAATCCGAAATCATGTGGGTGGAAGGAGTTAAAGACGCTGACTGACTACCAATTATCACTTTGCATGACCTGGAAACTAAGTTCAACAAATGAGAGACTCCATTACCGTTACCGTAAGGGCAGCTTACACCTGATTTGGCTAATATAATATAATGAAAACAGACATTATACACTGTGCATTGCAGACAACTTTTCATGGAAAGTGTCATTATCTTTCTATTTACATAGATTTCAATCTGACGAATTATTAAAGAATACGGTCTATAATAAACGCTCCAATTTCGCACGAAATAGAAAACATTAAAAGATAAGGTCGCTTAGGAATCACAAGCAAGACGATAAGAAAAAGGATCGAATAAAAAAACAAAACCAAAATATAAATTGCTTATGAATGTTATACCATTCTTATTCCATCATTGAAGTGACACCAGGAATAAAATACGCAGTTTTTTATCAATAAAGCCTGGTTGAAACAGCTTTGAATCTAATTCTTATACTTACTCTCTGGAAATGGCATTCTCTAAATTAGAACTTTGAGGCAAGGCGATGCTATAGTGTAAAGGATAGAATTTCTCCTTCAAAATAAACAATGAACAATTTTGAGCTTGAAAAGTAAGTGCTGTGATATCTCCTATGTAGGCATATTTTCCTTCTCTAACTTTTCTATAATGTACTTCTGGATTAATGCTCAGGGTTTCTTGATCACTTTTATTATACTTCTTTAATCCATTCCCGATTTGTCCATACACCCCACTCTCGTCAGCGTTCTGCAATTGAAATGTGAAGATAGATATGACTAGAGAATTTAACTCAAAAAAAAGCACGCGCCTAGGTCCGAAGCAAGGACTATTCATTTACAAGTGCTGGAGAGGGAGTTGGTGGGGGGCTGGGGGGCGGTGGATTTTGTCTGCGGTGGGTAGGAGCCAAAGAATTGTCAATGGTGGCTCAAGGCACCAGGCATTTAAATTTAATTTAATGACAATTTTTAGTCTGAAACATCTCCTTCTATTCCAGCCTCTGGTAGGTATTTTGACAGTTATCAGCTGACAACTTTCCAAATAGCTATATGATAGGCTGGAATAGCGGCAGAGGTTTCGGTCTAGATAAATTTGAGAGTAGGGAAGGGGAGAGAGACAAAACCGAGCCAGTCTTAGACCTGGACCTGAGAGAATGTCTTGATATCGCTCGAAATTCACCCCAGTATTTTGGCTTCTTTGAAAACTTACCAAGAATAATGTAGTAAAAGCTGAACCACCTAATGTCCCCCATTTATAATCTGATTGTTGAGACATCCCAGCTAGTGTATCGAACGGAACCTCTACTCTGCTTATAGTTAAAAATGCTACCAGATTACCACTATAGGTAGCGACTAACATAATACAAAATAACCACCAGAAACCTATAAACTTTCTACCAGCTAAAGATGTTGGTAAACTTTCACCTCCTGGAAAGAATGTCAAGTGAAGAAAGCTACAGATCGAAATCCAGTAAAGGAAAATTGAAAGATGATTTTTTAGTATGGGCCAAACTTAGGCAAATTCTACCATTATTACAGACTACTTTACATAAGAGTTTTTTTTTCCTTTGTCAAGTACCGTCTTCATAATAGATTTCAGAGATGTAGAACGCAAACCTCCACGATATTTGTTAAAAAGCTCATTTTAATGTTTAGGATACAGAAGCTGTTTTTTAAAAAAGACACAGAATTCACCCTTCACTTTACTGTTCTTATATTCTTATATTGAATGGGAGAGAACTCCAATAAATCAAGTCCGTTTATAAAATTGAAGTCTATTCTTTATGAAGTAAGACTATAAGCCATGTATACGCATGTTTGAATTGTTACTCTGGAATTAGACAAACATTTCTCAATATAACACAAAGATATATCAAAAATACATCTAGATATACGTAATTTTCGCAAGGAAAAAAATAAAACATTACATATACCTTGAGTTAAAAGAGCACCATACAGATACCAAAATACATCTGAAAAACTTTGTATGTCGTTGCCTGTATTACACTCGTAGAACGGATTTGAATTTTCTATGAAATATAGTATGCAAGTCCCTAAAAACAACGACACGGCAACACATATAAGTACATGGTAGGTAAAAGGCTTTAGAAACGTTTTCCATTTGGTATCGTTAGGATCCGGTGGTTGAAGTATCACAGTAGTATATTCTAGATAATATGGATAGGAGAATTTGATGGCTTTCCTACGCTCTGCTGTAGAAGATAAAGGTGCTACGGCCATATCAGCACTCTGAAAATAATAGTTATATGTGGGCTTATGTCGACTAGGAATTCCCGGGTGTCTCATCGGACACGTCGTAGTCGATATGTGCGATACACTTAAATCGAAAAATTGAACGATTATAAGAAATGCAATATGCAGTCGCAGATTACAAGTTGTGGAAAACCCAACTGCTCTATGATGCTGCGAGTCACAAGGTAAACCTGGGCTCTATATATATTTCAACAATTTTCAAGCTTATTTAACTTATTCAATACGTACATGTGTATAAACTTCTTTAATGATTCCGGTCCAATTTCCATTGACAAAATCACCCCATTCTCCATCGGGCGGTTCTACCACTTCATAACTAGAAAATAAAACCCACCCACCACTATCAACTATAATACAATACGCCCGCTATTGTGTCTCAGTGAATTAAACGCTCCCAACATAGGTAATTGAAAAAGAGCAGACTAATGCCACTGTCTGGCAAATTTTGCCTCATTGCACCCTGCATGGCGTTGCCCGTATTCGTTAGCGCCCATGGTGCAGAAAAGTATGACGTAAAATTCCATTCATTTTTCATTTCAGGGACTTAGGACTGATGTTATTGACAAGAATACTTCAAAGTAGGCTGTTTTCGTCCCATTGGCAGTAAATAATTCATTATATCAAATTCCCTGGCTGTCACTGTTATAAAAGGAACCTGATATCAATACGATTGTATACCTGAAGTTCATTGTTGTAGACAATTCATGCAATAAGTCCATACAAAATCCTGTATAGATGGTATTCGTTTCATTCACAACAGTTCTATATACAAAAGGCTTATACTGAAATAAAACAAAAACAACTCATTAATATCGTCAATATAGCCTTTTGCTAGCTTGATAAGGCTTCAGAAATTTTCTACTGAAAACAAGTGAGTGAATGGTTCGATTTTTAAATGCAATAGACTGTCCTATATATATGTGGCCCTGACAACGATTGGGTGAAATCCAGTTACGAGAAAGGGAAACTTAACTCGTACAAGTTCTATTTGGTACAGACGTAACTAAAAAAGGAGCGGGCGCAAGAGAGGCAAAATTCGAACAGATTCTTGTTAGACCTGTACGGTTACAGACCCCCATGCAAATGCAACCGCCCCCTTGTAATATTGGGCTGATTATGAAATATAATACTTTACAAAATTAAGTGAAAATGCATTAACAACTGATAAGTCGTAATGTATATTTTTAGGGCTGCAACGATTCCTAAAGTGGCGATCCGATACACTAAACGATACACGTTCAACGATACGATTTATTGCAATAATAAATCGCGATTCTTTGATTAAAAGGGAAAGAAAATGAAAACTGATAATTAATAACATTTTAACACAGTTTAAATTATTTTGGCACGCTTAGAAGTACAAAATTCACTTTTCATCATTTGTTACATACAAGGACTAACAAATTTCTTCAAAATAATAAATAAAATACCAAAACATTGTCAAATATCTTAATTGGGAATTGTCGTCGTAATAAACGGGAAAACCAAATGACTTCCAAACCTCAGATTTATACTTAGCCTCAGCGTTTTCAATTTCGATTTTTTTCACTGGCCTTTTCACCCACAGTGATATTTGACATAATATTAGCCTGACTTTAATTGATGACGTTGTCGGTAGAGATGATTACGAGCTAATAATTCATATTAAAATATTTCAGTGTTCAAATGTTTCGACAATAAGGTATTCCACGATATTCTGCTATCTCCGGATGGCATTCGAAACCCATCTTGAGAACCAGAAAAAAAAAGAAATGTCATTCTGTATTTTGTTGTTAGTAACGAGGTCATAAATTGCGTTTTTTGAGAATGGATCATATATATTTTGGTTTTATAAAAACGTATTGAGCTGAAGAATCTAATTTCCAAGAGCGCTGTATCGAATAAACAGCTTCGTGGAATTATTTTATGACTATGCAAACACATCTTACGTTGGAAAAAGAAAAAGTTTATATCAGATCCCATGCGCTTATCTTCCACTTGGCAAATTAATATGTTCTCTTTTCATCCTTTATAACAAAAATTAATAATGCTGAAGACAAATTAATACGTGAAAAGCAATTTTTTAACATTTGAACATGACACAATTTCTAAAATACGCGAGGATTCCGTGCTATTAGTCATTAAAGGTAGTTAATTATATTTATGAGATTCGGGCCGATGTATCGTGATTATTTTTTTCTTCGCAATCGATTCAACGGTGAGTCGTTGCAGCCCTAGTATATTTTGAATGTATTATTATTTACCATACATTTTCGATTTGCGATATAAAGTCTGTAAATATTAACTTACAATAAGAGACGATATAATAAGTTTTCGTTGATTAAAACCAAAATTGTTATTTGGGAAAATATTTTCAACTTGTCTGTTTAATATGGAATCGGTGCTGTTGATTGTGGTTATCAAACTCAACTTTCGGCCGAAATTTTTCCATAGTAACGTGTAGAGTTTGGCAACATGACATCTTGAAACATATGAGAAGTGCTGAAAAAAGGCAACATTTTAACAATATCAAGTGAAGTATACATAAAAAATACATTTGACTAATGCTTATTATCAACGGATGAATTGTGCGAAAAAGTGTTGGGAAATTTGAAAATTTCGGTAGCCATTTTTTAAATTTCTTTCGATTAAGTTACTCACGAGGTTATCATCTATCAAGGGTATAGATATAACAGCTACATTGTTAAGATAACCAGACGATTCTTCTATACTTCTCATTGACTCGGGGTTATCTGGTATTATCATTAACCATCTTGTCTGTTGACTTATTGTAAATTTATTTCCTTTTTGATCTTCAAATTCCTTCAACTAAAAAAGCATTTCGGTATCAGATTTTATTTCAACACCGTAACAAAATGTAACGGGATGAATGATACAATCATATAGGTCCTATTTCAAAATTGAATAATCGGGAAAAACAGAAAGACAGAGGGTATTGTGGGGGACTAGAATGCTCCTAGTTCAACTCACGGAAACTAACGGACATTGGCGAAAGTTGAGCCGAATGATCTGAACCCATAATTCTCAAATATTTTGAAGCACCGTTTTTCAATTTTTGTAAAAAATTTTGCTATAACAAACTATATTGAGTGGTGCACAGTTTATCCACTGTAAACCGAAGTATATTTGGAGACAGCTGTACAACGTAGTAGGGCTAAATCCATAAATCACAAGACCCTTGCTCTACAAATCTAGCATTAACTATTATATTTTACGCACAATACGGAAATCAAATGTATTTTGGGTTCTAATTAATTTCAACAAAGATGAGTTAAGTAATAGATATCAAATATGCAACAGGAAAGGAATAGAATAGTACAATGCTTTTAGTGTATATCGGATGTTCTTTTTTGTTATAGTTACATAGTTACTATAGTTACAGGATTTTTTTAAAAATAGGATTCGAATTGTTTTATGCTGTGCAGTGAATCCTGTTAGAGACTTATTCAACCAAATCACTGGGGAAAAAACAGGCAATAAAGAAAAGCATATGTTCAGTAATTGATTTTGTGTGTGGTTTTTTTACGACCTTAAAACCAGGATTTGTTTTGTTGATATAAGTCATAAATTATAAAAATCCTGTCGCATAATTAGAATATTTGCTAGATCTACTTCAAAACCTTACATTTATTTAAAAGCACCGAAAAGCATATGTAATTATGCAGCATCTTATTAGTAAATATTACTGCGAGATCAAAATTAATGTAACAACCATTAGATTGGGTCAGCTTCGATAATATACAGTAATTTTAATTGGCATTTTGGAAATCACTTTATATAACATATAACAGTATAAGTGTGTCGAGATCACAGTAAAATCTGAATTGACTTTTTTCAGTTATGCCCCCCCCCCCCAAAAAAAATCGCATAGCAATAACAAAAATATAGATTGTTTTCTTGTACGGATGGCTTGCTTATGTCAATTTTACTTATTTTTCATTTTCAGCAAACAAGAATTCCTATTGAATATGTGTTTAATAGGTCAACGGATATTTTTGGAGCGAATAATTTTAATTTTTCTACGACTCTCTATCGTTTTTTAATGGGTTAAATGAAACAAATAATAATTTTACAGTTATATAGTATAATAGGTTTTTTTCTAGATGAAAACATTATTTGTAATTTAGAATTTTATCACCAGTTGAACCAAATAAAAAATACTAGGAAACAAACAATATTTGAAATTAGTTATATCGATTATTATATTATGACAATAATAATAAAAGGTTGAAATAATTATTGCCATTTTCTGTATTCTTACACAAGTGTATAGTTTTGGCACTAATTCGTTTATAGACCAAGTTTCACTAAATACCATTTTAGATTTCTTACGACTGGATGTCGTATCAGAATAACTATTTGGGTATATATAGCCATGCACATATGGAAAACCACAGGAGACATTGTAGTGTAAAGATTAAAAAGAATCTATTCCCTACAAACTTGTATTTTTCACAGCAGGGGTAGCATACAGAATTTTTATCAAAAATGTTGTAAATAATCCGTGAAAAGAATATTAAAATATGCTTTTAAGTTCTATGCATCGACCTGGACTTGTTTTAAAAGGGGTAATTTAAAAATGGAGTAAAGTAATTGTAAGTAAACAACTAGTATTGGTGTTGAGCTTTTAAGGTTAATTTGTTTAGCTTCCACCAATCACCAATCAATAAACAAAGCGACTTTAAATGGTTTACGTAAAGCTTTTAAAAGTTTTGGTGTTCTTGTAAGTTAAAAGCCTTAAGTCTTAGTTAACGTCTGGGGCCTCTCATGGCGCGGGAATAAACGAGGCATGGTATTTTTCTATTCTTTTGTACTATACGCCACGCCTTATTTTTACCATAGCCTACATACGCCTTCCATAATGTGGACAATTTCACTTTTGTGAATTGCACTTAGTTTTTTAACTAGTAATTGGAGTTTCAAACATGGTTAGAATAATAAATAATATTAATGATACGGGGTTAGAAATAACA